GGAGACTTTGACGTATTTTATGACCATTATGCAGTATGTGACAGAGATTGCTCAAACGAGAGAAAGAAAGAATGAAAAATATACATAGAGAGAGGGGAGAGAGAGAGAGAGAGATAGAGATAGAGATAGAGATAGAGATAGAGAGAGAGAGAGAGAGAGAGAGAGAGAGAGAGAGAGAGAGAGAGAGAGAGAGAGAGAGAGAGAGAGAGAGAGAGAGAGAGAGAGAGAGAAGAGAGAGAGAGAGAGACAGACAGAGAGAGAGAGAGACAGAGAGAGAGAGAGAGAGAGAGAGAGGAACAGAGAGGGAGAAAGAGAGAGAGAGGAGAGAGAGAAACAGAGACAGACAGAGAGGAGACTTAGAAATATAGAACAGAGAGAAAGACAAAGAGACAGGGATAACTAGACCGACTATCTAGAACGACTCACGTAATGGAATGAGCTGAGTCCCCACGGATAGAAGGCCTCTCTCTCCGAGTTGGTCATTTGCAGTTCCGATCCGTTGATCGTTGGGTCGAACATAAAGATATCGCAGCCATAATAACTCGCCTTAAAGAGAGAAAGATCAATATCTTATTCATAATGCTATAAATATATGACAATATAGTTCATATCGTTCCCAATTGTTTCGAAAAGAAAATGAAACTAAATAAAGCCATGTACTGTTCACAGCGATGCATGCTTCGAAACACTCCTAACCTAAACAAACGTTGCATAATTTGTGTGTTAGAGACGAATTTCGAAAACGTTTGACAAGAATTTCAATCGTGAATGTACAGTCACGGTTGAAATTTCGAATTCCGTTTAGAACATCCGCTTAAAACCACACTTTTCATATGGGGAAGGCTAGATCAGTAGCAAGTCGAGGTGTCATGGGCGTGATTCTATTTTAGAAAAAAAAAAAAAAAATTGATGACATCACAAAAGTTACGGATGCTTTGTGAATATGGTCGATCATTTTGGTCTTTTCAATTTTCAAAAAGGATGGAAAAAAATTAGTTATATTTCCGTTGAACAATCATCAAAACAGACGCCATGACACCTCGAATTGCTACTGATCTAGCCTTCCCCCTAAACAAACGTTGCCTTATTTGTGTGTCTGAGATGGATTTCGAAAACGTTCGACACGAATTTCAACCGTGAATGCACAGACACGGTTGAAACTTTTACCAACTGTTTCAAATTACGTTATATAGGTAGACTTGTCCTATATAGACTTGTCCTATACTTTTTATATAGGACAAGACAGATTCGAAGCTTCATTTCACGACATGACTTTCGTCCGTCACTGAACCATATCTCCGTACCATGTCATCGAAGGTGGTGTCAGCCCCAACGCCAAAAGAATACACTGTGCAGTTTCTGGAGTTAGGCTTCACGTCATCATCCAAACACACGTACTTCTCGTTGTCAAGGTACCTGAGGAAAGCAAAGTCATTTCTTTTTACTATTGTTAATACTCTCCTTGATATCTGTAGTTAATCAGTAATACTATCCTTTCTTTCAGTAATTAATGTTAATTGTATCCTTGTCATCAGTTATTTCTTACTATTATCGTTTTCATTGTATTTGTTGGTTTCATCATCACATTTATCATTATCAATAACAGTTCTGGTATCATGATTAGTATGAGCATCACCAACCATAACTAATACTATTAAGAAAAGTCATAATATCAACAGTTCCAAAGTTCCCGAATAAAAAAACATACAGTATATATATATATATATATATATATATTATATATATATATATATATATATATATATATAAACATACCCCTATCCCCACTCACCCCTTGCAGTACGTGCCGCCGAACGGGACCATCTTCCGGCACTTGGTCTCTCAGCGTGCTTATCCTGACGTAGAAGTCGTTGGCGTCTCGCAGCGCCACGTGGTCGCTTTGGCTGCAAGGACAGGGGGGGGAGCGGTCGGTGGTCGAGCTCGCGTGCATTTTATCATCTTGTTGTATGTGATATTTCTCTTTCTTTGTTTTCTTTTTTTTTGAGTGGTTTATATTCGATTTACAGTACTTGTAAATGCATTATAGATAGGTATCGGTGTATATATATATATATATATATATATATATATATATATATAATATATATTATATATATATAATATACACATTTATAAATACACACGCACACCTGCACACACACACAACACACACACACACACACACACACACACACACCACACACACACACCAGGGGCGCACTACGGGGGGGGTCCTGGGGGTCCGAACCCCTGCCCTTTTTCTCAAAGGGGTGAAAGTGCCCTTTTTCTAGGGCACTTTCTTTCTCTTGATCTTAGAATGGCGATGAGACTGTTTATTGTATTTTTGTTTGGTTCAGTGCAAATAATTATTATAATTAAATTCTTGTAACATTTCTTCCGTTTTTTAAATCTGAAGAACACAATTCAGGCTATATTCCTAAATAAAATTCATATTGTGCCCTTTTTGTGGCCTGGACCCCTGCCCTCTAAAATTCCTAGTTGGGCCACACACACACACACACACACACACACACACACACACACACACACACACACACACACACACACACACACACACACACACACACACACACACACACACAGCGCTCATTCATTCACTCACACAAGTCCAGCCTTAGCATACCAACCTCCTGGACGACTTAGGCGACCGAACAAAAGCTGGTTCCTCCGAGTCCAAGGAGAAGGAATCCTCTTTCCTTCTCGCTGATGGCAGAGAGGAACATCATACTACTGTAGAAGGCCAGGGCGAGGAGGTAGCCCACCAGAGGGGAGATGCGCAGGTGTATTCTGGCCATTATGCTACTGGAGAGAAGTGGACGGTTCGTTAAAAAATGGAAGGGATCATGTACGGTTTAGGTAACTTGGGGGTTCAGGAAAATGGTAGTTTCGGATAATTCCGATATTTGTTTATATATCGCGATTTATTTATTTATTTTTTTTTTTTTTTTTTTTTTTAAGTCGTTTGGTTTTCTTGTGCGAAAGGAAATACAAGGACAGTGTGACCATGTAGCACAAGTTATGAACCTGTTTATATGCAAATCATATTGCTTCGAATTCGCCTTGCCGCTTGCAAACAGACAGCGCCTTGTGAAACGTAATAGCTCTTAAGACTGTCATCTAACGTACAATATGTCGAATTTCCTATGAACGAAAATACGTAATAAATTTTTTGATAACTAAGATATATGTGTGTTTGCTAAATACATTTAAAAAGCACAAAAATGATGCCAAAATACGAAACAATCGAGAACCTTTCCGATGGGTCTGGAAATATCATATACTTTATAACACATGTTCGTGTACATCACCAATCAAGTACAAAAAAAAATTGTTTTATATTTGTTATATCTTTGCGCTGCATGCACCTTATGCTTTTGTGTGACAGAACTACTGAGGAAGAAACGTACATAAAAGTCATATTATATGACCACAGAAACAAAATAAGAGTAAAACAGTCAACATATACATGCATAAATGAACACTACGGTAAATATTCAACATACCATCGCATGGCCGATCACTACTAACCAAATTTATAGATATTATGCAGCGGAAACCCCCAGGTAGGGGCATGGGTGTAGATAGAAAGGGAGAATAGACAGTAGGTGGGAGAAGGGAAATAGATAGGAGACTAGGAGGAAGGAAGGGAGGTAGTAGAAAGGGAGAATGGGAAGAAGACAGAGAGGAAAATATTAGATACGAATAATATACAGATAATTGATCAATATATAGTCAAATGCATTGGGCTCTGCCCCCCAACCTCCGTTCTGGACAACAAAGAATCCACATACCTGACTCTAATCTATTTTTTTGTAAATAATCAATTTATATACTATGTAAATAAAGTTTTAAAAAGTAGCATTAATACTTTCAACTTTTCTTTCCATCTTTAGCTAGCTTACCTACAGGTTTTCCCCATCTTTCCTATCCTGCTGGAAAAAAAACACAACGAATGGACGGCAGGGTAGAGCGTCGTACCGAAAGATCTATATAAGTACTTATATAAATCTTGCTCGGTCGTAACTTACATCCTACGTGGATTCTTTGTCTTCCGTTGCCGGGGTTGGGGACGGCAATTCCCCACAAAGGAAGGGTCTGTTATCCGTGCGTATTGAGATAAATGCATCGATTTTTATGGGCAAGGAACGCTTCGCTACTCTAGTTGGAGAGAGAAAAAACGGAGAAACTGACTGGACTATAAGCATGACTTGCACGCCAGCCAGTCACGCACTGCCCTTTGCTGCATTCCACGCAAAAAAACAGATTTGCTCAGTAGCTCTACTGTATCAGCAATCATACAATGTTTCTTATAATCGTAATTAAATAATTTATAATCCAGGTATTTCATTATGAACGGAAGCAATCACGAACTTAAAATTAATCATAGCGGCGGTGTTTTTCCTCTGCTCGGACAAGCCACGAGGGATACCTTGTATAAAACACCTCCCGACTTTTTTTTTTATCATATTTTATCTAAGACTTCCTCTTGAGATACGTGGCTGCTAGTATCATAAGATCTCGATTCCTAGTCGTTGTTTCATGTCTAAAGTTTCCTTATTTTATACATTTAACGGTTAGCGGTAATTATTCAAATACTGCGTTTGTTTACCTGCCGTTCTTCTTGTATTCACTGTACAAACGGTGGTCTTCCTTTTCAGTTGGAAGATGATGATGATGGTGGTGGTAATGATGGTGATGATGGTGGTTGATGATGATGATATGATGGTGATTGATGATGATGGTGGGTAGTGATGGTGATGATGGTAGTATGATGATGATAATGATGGTGATAATGGTGGTGGTGATGATGATTATGATGATGATAATGGTGAAGGTTATGATGGTGGTAGTGATGGTGATGATAGTGATCGTGGTGATGATGGTGGTGGTGATGGTGATGATGACGATAAAGATAGTGATGATAATTGGTGATAATAATAATATCAACAATGATAATGATAATGATGGTAAAAATAACAATAACAATGGTAATAAGAATCATAATATAATCATCCTTATCATGATCATCATCATAACAATAACAATAATCCTAACAAAAACAATAACAATGAATATCTAAAAAAAAAAAAAAAAATCAAACCGGTTTCGACAAAATCTTCGTCCGAAATACAAGTTAAAAGATCATGAACATCAATGGATTTCGGACGATGATATAATCGAAACCGGACAAATACATTTCTAGTATTGTGAAGATAAGCATTCATTCATTTTTCCTGTATCTAAATACTGTTCATCATTATCTTTGTCATATTGTTGCCATTATGATTATGATAACTGATGGTGATAATAACGATGATATATTTCATTGCAACTATGATAATCATAACAGCAATATTGATAACAAGAATGATAACGATGATGATGATGATGATGATGATAAAATAATAATAATACTAACAATAATATTAAAATAATAATGGTAATAATGATCATAATAGTAATAATAATCACAATAATAATGATAATAATAATAATAATAATAATAATAATATAAATAAATATAAAATTATAATAATGAAAATAATAATAAAAGAAACAACTATCATAACGATAATGATAATAATAATAATAATAATAATAATAATAATTGATAGATATGCAGTATTATAATACAGATAATAACAGTATGATGATTAAGGTAATAATAGTTAATGTTAATCATGAAAACAATAAAAATAACAATAATGATAATAATATCAATACTGTAATTGTAATGATGATAATAATATCAATGATGATGATGAATAATAATAAAATAATAATAATAAATATAAATAATAATATCAATCGTCATCATCATAATATAATAATAATAAATAATATAATAATAATAATAATAATAATAATAATGATAATAATAATAACAATAACAATAACAACAATAGTGATAACAATAATAACAATAATGATATTAATAATTGCCATAATAATGACAACAATAATCATAATGATACAAATAATATTATTAATGCTAATGATAATAACAATAACAAAGGTATTATCATCAATATGAGTCATGATCACATCAAGAACAACAACAACAGCTTCAAAACCAGTAGCGATAAAGCAAACAAAAGACAACTACTGCAGCAGCATAATTGTAATAATTTCACTCCCAGCAGCTGTTCTCATAATTGGCAAGATAGCTAATTCAACTCTCTTCTCTTCTCTTCTCTATATCTACTCTCTTTTTTCTTTTTTTCCCTTTCTTTTTTAGTTCTATAGCAATGGTGTAAAAAAACGTTTATGCAATATTAGGGTCTCTAACACCAGACTAAAACATAAATCGAAGGCAATACAGACCAAACGTTTATTAATCACTATTCACACGATAAAATATGAACACTTTAATGGATTTAATACCACAAAATAAGTATGATCAACCGACCTCAAAACACTACAGGAAACCACCACCTCAATAACCATTCTATTCTTGAAACTACTAAATTATCACCACACCGAATTCAACCCCACAAGCACGCAAAACCTCACTTCCTGCAGGATGATCTTCAACGACAGAGGAGTCTTCACACTACGACTTCGCCATCACCTCCACCGGGATCTCCAGACGACCCTCTCGCTCCTCCGACGGTGCTGAGGTCACAGGAAGATGGGGGACTTCACGGCCTCAGGGACTCGGGTGAGAAGAGGTGACGTCAACAGCTCGCGCGCGTGGTTCCCTTTTTTATTAATCTTTTGGGTTTTCCTTTATCCGTTTTACTTTATTTCTGTTCTTAATTAAGGGGCGGTAGAGGGGAGGGAGGTTATATTGGATGGTGGATTTTTATAATAATTATTATTATTTTTTATATGTTTTGTTTACGGTAGAGGGGAGGGAGGAGGATGTTATATTGGATGGTGGATTTTTATAATGATTTTTTTATGTGTTTTGTTTAGGAAAGTGGATTATATAAATCGCATGTCTCCTATTTAAGGGTAGTTTGTTTGTTTACATTAATTGCTGATATATAAAATTTCTTAGTATTTACACCTATGATAAAACAAACGTTCGGAAAGAAAGGAGGAAAACAAAATAAATAAATGGCATCCGTGCGATGAGGAAAACCAATACTGGAGGAAAATACCAAGAAAATTTAATGACCAGGAAAATGTGTGGCGAATATACGCACACACACGCGCGCGCGCACACACACACACACCACGCGCGCGCGCACACACACACACAACACACACACACACACACACACACACACACACACACACACACACACACACACACACACACACACACACATGTGACACAACGCACATGTGTGCACGCATGTATGCATAAATAGATAGGTAAGTATATACATAAAATCATATTACAAACACATACACACACATATAAACACAAACACACATACATACATATATATGCACACAGTTTGCTCCAAAATGCTTGGCCAGAAGTCCCAGTCTTGTTAATGTTGCATCCCTCAACCCCTCCTTGGTGTCCTATTTTTGCACATGTACCCTCCTCTCTACCCATTTGATAGATCCCGTCCCTCTCATACACTGTTGTAAGTTTTGTACTGTGTGTGTGCTACATATTGATATACTTGAATTTACATAATTTTCCCTTTCAGGATATTTGAAAATCTTCTTTGTGCACTAGTAGACCAGATAGTTTGCAAACATATTTACACAATTGGCCTGATATAAGAGCAGTATTAGAAAAAAACTCAAAGTATAGGGACAGAAACATGTTACATACAAATTCTGTGTTGGTCAGTTGAAAAGTAGTCACCATATTATGGTATGGGTCATACTACTTATGATACAATTGCTTAAACAGTTTACAAGTGTCAAGTGAGAATATTTTTTTTATTTTAAACATACACAGCTTCATTGATAAGCTTTTATTTCCCATGAGCTTTATAAGTTCTATGTCAGCAATTTAAGTATGACATATCTCTGGGAACTTGAAATCAAAGAAAAAGTAAACAAAGTCATTAAATTCTAGATACAGGGTCTTTGAACTGTAATTGTCTTTCATGTCTGACTGCAAGTCTGTCTATTGTTGCTGACGACCAGGGAACTAACCATCCCTCTTGTATCCATATGTAGGAGGTTCCGTGAATGAACATCACAATATAACAAGCAGAAAAATTATCTAATTTAATTTTCCTAGCTTCAATTCTCTCAGTTATATAAAAAAGGTAATTATACGTCAATATTATTAGTATGATCATGTTCATTTTTGGAAGCGAATTCACATTTTTTTTTTTATTTCTAAACATTAAATAAATGAAAAGAACTGATGTGTATAGCATATTATATGAGCTATAAACACTAAATATAACCATGTGTTTCTGCCTGACTGTAAAATGACCACATAGTCATCAGAAGTAAAGAAAAATATTTAATGAATTTAGGAAACAAACTGCTTAAACCTCATAAAGATTGATAAACTAAGAATATTAATAATGTTCATAATTCATACTTCATTTGTAAGTAATTGTATATCTTCAGTGTTAATAAATTTAGGATTATACTTTAGTCTTTATTATTGGAAGATGGTAAAACAATTAAAACATTAACTAAAACATTAACAAGTTTTAATGAATTCTAGAGTGGTTGCAAGATGAAAGCTCTTCAGCCTAATATCAGGCATATGTTTGTCTAAAACTAAGCTGAAAAGTTGGGAGATACTTTAATATGGATGACTGATCCATCTCTAAATTTGTAAGGATAACTAACCCAAGCATGTCATTCACAATGAGAAGAAACCAGACATCATATAAAGGCACTTTCATGGAAGACCATTTCTTGCCAATCAGTTATGAAATTATGGTTTTAATAATCTCTAGAGTACCTTAAGATGTTTTTTTTTTTCATATACCCCAACCTTAAAGTTACATTCATAATTTAAATCTAACAGTTTTATTTTTTATTGTTTACTGTAAATAATCAGAATTCTTCATCAAACTCTCAAAGACGCTGTATACCTGACTTCATTCTAAGGTAAACAAAACAAAATATATTCACAAAGGTTTATTGCTACTCAACAGCATAAATATCAACATATACTGATTTATTTACAAGATATAAAGAAAAGTAAAAGGAAGCTTTATTGGTATGGCCAAGTGCTTCTAGCTGTATACCCTGGGTACTTTTTCTTAGTTTTCAAGCCACTAACAATGGTGGAGTCTTTGGTGAACACAGAAACTCCTCCAAACATTGTATCTGTCTCTGTTGGAAGGGAAGACAATGATATGTAATAGATTCACATCAGTTCTATTCTGTAGGATAACAAGCAAGTTTTGTGAAACAAAATGAAGAAAGAGTTCAATGCTTTCTCACATCATGACGATTCAAAGACTAAATTGTAAGGAAAAGGCAAACTCAAACTAAACACGGATACAAACATGAGAGAGATTGAGTGAATATGCAGAACCAGGTCTGTGATATAACCTGTATTTCCTATACAGGAAGAAAGCGAGAGAGAGAGAGAGAGAGAGAGAGAGAGAGAGAGAGAGAGAGAGAGAGAGAGAGAGAGAGAGAGAGAGAGAGAGAGAGAGAGAGAGAGATGAGAGAGGAGAGAGAGAGAGAGAGAGAGAGAGAGAGAGAGAGAGAGAGAGAGAGAGAGAGAGAGAGAGAGAGAGAGAGAGAGAGAGAGAGAGAAGAGAGAGAGAGAGAGAGAGAGAGAAGAGAGAGAGAGAGGAGAGAGAGAGGAGAGAGAGAGAGAGAGAGAGAGAGAGAGAGAGAGAGAGAGAGAGAGAGAGAGAGAGAGAGAGAGAGAGAGAGAGAGAGAGAGAGAGAGAGAGAGAGAGAGAGAGAGAGAGCAGAGGAGACAGAGAGGAGAAGGAGAGAGAGAGAGAGAAAGGAAGGGAGAAGAGAGAGAGAGAGAGAAGAGAGAAGAGAAGAGAGAGAGGGAGAGAGAGAGAGAGAGAGAGAGAGAGAGGAGAGAGAGAGAGAGAAGAGAGGAGAGAGAAGAGAGAGAGAGAGGAAGAGGAAGAGAGAAGAGAGAGAGAGAGAGAGAGAGAGAGAAGAGAGAGAGAGAGAGAGAGAGAGAGAGAGAGAGAGAGAGAGAAAGAAAGAGAAAGAGGGAAAAAGAAAAG